TTTCAGTTCTAATAAATAATTTACTAAAACAAAACTGTCTTTTGGTTTATTCCTTAAAGAGTTATTGTAAATAATATTTATTTAGAAACTGAAATGAGGTGAAAGGATGATGTTCATTTCTTCAGGGGGTTTTTTTTGTATAATTTTCTAAACACATAAAGCAAATGACACCACAAAAACAGGCAGGCAAATGCACAAAACAGTTATTCTGTAGACTGCAATGAGTTCCTAAGACTAGGACAGAAGCGATAACATTCATCAATACCATTAAGAATGCTAAGTTTATATATGGGTGCCACTGTTTAAGTAGTAGAAATGGATGTAAATGTTAGTTTTAATATAGTCCATTAAGTTTTAGGTTGTCTCAATTTATCTACTTAGTTTCTTGAGTTTAAGATGATGCATTACTTCCCTCAGTCATTGAGCGAATCCAGTTCAAAGTGGCAAATGTAATTTTTGGCTATTTTTTTATTCCTAGAAAGATACCTGTTGTTCCACAATAGCAAATATGGCCACAAGTGATTGTTTATTTAGTTGAATAGTCATTTTAAAAATGTGTGACAGTGTTTTTAAGATTCAACTCCAATACATACCAAAATTAGGACACTGGCAAAAAGACCTTCAAAGAAGCTGTGACCCAGTTTCAGTCCTTTGCATGTTGAGTGTGCTTGTAGACATTTTAGTGGATTTAGCTTTGCAAAAATAAAGGTGTAACAATTCAAGTCCACAATGCCGTTAGTTATTGCACCTAGAAATTCTCATACCATTGCAACCCCAATAGGGAATTAAAAAACATTAACAGCTACAAAGAATGTGGGAAAAGGTTGTAAAAGTACATGCTCTCTTGGCACCCTACTTCTGACCCCACCGATCTTCATACATCTCCATCACCCTGGGTCAACAGACCTGAATCAAATGATTAGTTCATTACCAGGTCTCTGGAGAACTTCAAGACATGTTGAGGAGGTCATTTAGCCTTTTAAATAAGCTGTGTTGGATCAAGGACACATCTAAAATCTGCAGGACACCGGCCCTCGAGGCCTGGGCTGTGTCCCAATTCAGGGTCTGCACGCTTGAAGTACGCATTT